TATTTTCCGTTCCGGATATTTATAACTTTTCGAATGAAATAATTTATTCAATATATTTTACCATTTTAGCAATATCAATTACTAATATCATGATGCATAAATCAATAATATTTATCTATGAAGAATCTCTTAGATCAGTTCGAAAGCTACCGGTTTAGAATTACCAATGTCAAAATAATCGTATTTGAAATCTTCGAGTTATTATTATCCTGTATGCAAAGATAAACTAATGTTTTCCATATTCATTATAACCAAAAAATAAGCATAGAATATAACTATTTATTAAAATATTGCTAATATTTTCATTATTAATATCTTTATTACAAACATTACTATCATCATCAATAATTTTACTTGAAATTTTTTCAAATATGTATTTATTTTAATTATCTATTTCGTTACATTAAATTTTTTTTACTAAACTTTTTATGCATTAGGAACTATTCATTTACAAAAAAAGCTTAATCAAAAATCTGAATTCTAATTTCAGAATTATTATTTCTTTAAATTTTTATAATAAACTCTTTTTTCTATATAAATTCAATTTTTTACAAATTCTGAATACAAATTGCTCATTTAAATAATTTATATCTGTATATAATTTATTTTCCTTTTTTATTTTTAAATTAAATTATATTCTATTAAATTTTAATATTGCTGATGTAAGTTAATGAACTTTCTTTTCAGATTCTAATAGTTTCATTTAATATTATAATCTATAAATAGAGTATTATTGATAGATACTTGAATTATAGGTGATATTATTATTTCAGATGATTAATTTCTAATTAAACATAAATGTATTCTATTTAAATAATATTCATATTTGATAAATTATATATATATTATTTTAAAATCTTATTTTATTAGAAAATAAAAATTATTATAACAATCAAAATTTTTATAATAATAATATATATTTTATTTTATAAATAACTATGAATATAAAAAATTACTATTTAAAGTTATGCATTAATTATATTAATTAATTTATATATTAAACAATAAATTTCTAAATATCTTAAGTTATATTATATAAAATTATATAATTCATTATTATACTTTAAACTAACAATAAAAAATTACATTTTAAATTAGCTTTATTTTTATAATAATATAAGAAAGTATTAAAATATAAAAATTAAAAATTAAACAATTAGTGAAGTATCACATGTAATATAATTATATTACATGTGATATCCCACTTACTCTAGATTATAATATCATATATAATCTAAATATCACATATAATCTAAATAATGTGATCTAATTGCCACATATAATCTAAATATTGTGATTTAAATACCATATATAATCTAACACTTTTATTATTTTTTTATATCTCTTTTATGTTCTAACTATGTCTTTAAGTCTTTCTTGATATTCGTATTTTTTATGTTAATATATTTTTATTACCACAATATAATCTAATTCTCATACACATATAATCTAAATACTACGCTTTTCTTTTTATTTTTGAGTTATTTATATACTAAATTCTATAATAGGATTATTAACCTTCTGTAGTTGTTTAGATACCTGATTTTATGTTAAAATGCTGATCTCCTGTGTCTGATTAGATGCTGGATTCTATATTAAAGTGCTTTCCCTTTGTACCTATTTGGTTGCCTTTCTAGATTCTAAAATGTGGTAAAAATATATCATGTCAGGTGACGAAGTAAATTTATGAATTAAATTTTGATAAGATTGAGATACGAAATGCTGAATCTATTTACTGAACTTTATCACGTAATATAAAATCCGTTAACAATATTAACAGATTTTCTAAAAATTCAAAATTGTTACATAAGAAAGAAATAGTTACCATTACTTTATCCACTTTCTGTTCAGTATTATTATAGTTAGCCTATTTGATTACTAAAAAGTGTGCTATTTTGTAACTTAATTTATATGTATGCCGATTTTGTGTCTATAGTTAAAGGTGCAATATGTATTATCTTGGCTTGACTCATTTGATTACCAAAAAGTACATTATCTTATAACCTAATTATTGTGCCAGTATATGTATACCAATTTTGTATCTGTAGTTAGAGATACATTATGTATTATCATGACTGACTTATTTATACCATACCTGAGTATATACCTAGGAAAGTATAGTCTTCTTCTAATTTTTATATAATAGATTATGAAGAAGACTACACTTTTCAGATATATCTACTTGCCTTTATTTTTAATTTGCTTACTAGCTTACTATACGTTTCTTTTTTTAAAGGATGAAAAAAATTAATTACAGTCAACTCTTATTATAATGAACTCTATGTCTTAGATCTCAACTTCACTATAAGGCTATAGTGAAGATTTTAAGAGATTTGATTGGCCAATTCGCTATAACAAGAGTATTTTTATTATATTTGTTCAAAAAATTCATTATATCAAGAGTTCGCTATATCAAGAGTTGACTGTAAATATATGATATAATTAAACTCATTAGTCTATTGCGTGGGATTGAGAATCTAGATTTTGATAAAGATGATTTAGAAATCATTCGTAAAAAGAAAATTAATGGCTGTACTTTTCTTAAAACTAGTAAAGAAGATTTTGAACGATATAGTCTAGAAGCTGATTCTGCTACAACAGCATAACAAATCATATTAGATGGCTTACACAATTTCATTGGTTAAGTTTAATTCTACTTTTTGACTACTTATTTGCTAAAAGTACACTGTCTTGTAACTCAACTATTGCATCAGTATAAGTATGCTGATTTCATGTTCTAAAATTTGAATCATTAGAGTATATCTGTATTGTATTCTATATATTTTTAGGCATATTAGGATGTGAAATAGGACAGATTTTTTGTTCCTATCAATTTAACTAAAAGAATTTCATAGGAACACTCATAAGAATACATTTGTATATCACCTTCACTTTTTTGAGTCGATTGATTACTTTATTTGATATCTGTTCCTATGTTTTTATCAGTTTCTATGAAAAATAAAACTTTTAGAAAAAATTTTAATTTTTTCTATGCTATACGTATAGTGTACATATAGTATATATATAGTGTATATATAATATATGTATAGTGTATAATAAAAAAAATAAAGTAAAGTAGTTCAATTTTTTATAGGACTGATAGAAACATAAGAACACCCTTTCTAAAATTAATCTGAAATGCTTTTTACTGTCAAGATGCTATGCAAATATATTCCTATGAGTGTTTTTATAGTGTTTTCAAGAAATTTGATAAGAACATTGATCTAACTAGGGTTGTTTACCTCTAAATTATCTTCCTCAATCAGCTTAGCCAGCTCTGCCAACTTTTTCTGATGGTACTCTTCTTTTACCCTATGTTTCTTTGCATATAAATCGCAAAATCCACATGCATTTAGTTTAGCCAGCTCAATCAGCTTTTACTGATAGTAGTGTTTTTTTACTCTAAGTTTTTTTATATGTAAATCGCAAAATCCATATTTATCTCTAGTTCTTTCAATACACCTAGGTTGTTTACAAGGAACTTGCCTAGAATCCCTATGAGCTTTGTATTCATCTGAATGATAGCATCTCCGATTACATACTTTTCTAGTCCTAAGAATGTATTGTTATAGAAAGATATTGATCCAAAAGATCATGTGACACATGTGACTAAAAGGCATGTTGACTGCATCATGTTAGATGACGAAGACGGCAAAGATGAGAGAAATAAATTACGAAGATTACACAAAAAACCTAGAAGTCGCCGGAAAATTCTATTATATTATTAATTATTTTGTATTATTAATCATTTATTATTTATAATTAATTAGTATTTTATTTATTTATATTAACAAATTTAGTATAAATAGGATAGCTTTAGGACTTGGTTAGGAAGAACATAATTAAATAGCAGTAGACAACTATAACAAAATAATCTTATAAATATTTAGAATTCAATTAGTTTTATCACCAACAAGATAAATACTAATAACAGTTATATGCTAACAAATATAATTGTATCAAATTCTTTATCCTTTAATAAAATCTTTAAAGTTTATTCTAAATATATATTATCATTTGAAGTAATAATTATTTATAAACCCTTCAGAGCTCTCCCTAAAGTATCAAATAAAAGCTAAATCCCTTTGTTAATCTTGCGTTAATATTAATTTTCAGTCATTAGTATCGTAAGATAACAATTTAATGCAGATTGGGTGGAATAAAAACCAATCTGATAAATCAAACATATGCGAAGAATACTTAGGCAATTAACAGTAGCTGTAGAACCTATTCTCTTTCAACTTCAGCTGCAGGTCGCTGAGATTCAATTCTAGTATAAATCATTAGAAAACGAAGAAGTTATTTCAATTAATCGTCTTAAATGTTTACAAAGCAACATTAACGATCTAAAACATTTTATTGAATTCCATAAGATTAAGGCCACGTGGGACAAATTAGTATTTAGTGATGACTACTTTGACAACGGATCTCAATAAATCTGAAGATCTAGTACTGATTATATCACTGAGAAACAATTCTTACTAACTGTCCGATGACATATAGCTGCTCATAAGAAACTTGAGGATCATAAAATCTCATTTATTATCTATTTAGATCAATCCTGCCTATAGTGTCATCCAGATTACGAAACTCAATCAGGAAAACTACCATCTTTTGACAATTTTTAGTTTCTGTGAATTGTATCTAAATATAACGCTATATCATACACTACCTTTACTGTAGCTTATTTTTTAAGGGCCCAAGAGAGTGAGGCTAGCTTTTTGGAAAGAGACCACTTATTGAAATATTTGTTAAGAAAAATTGTCACTACAATTAGATATAGGGATAACATACTAAAGGAATCCTTTAATAGCATTGCTGATAAATTATATCAAATTTTGGTAAAAACAAAACAGTTTTAATCGTGAAAAATTGAAAGTATTAGCAGTACTGATTCAATTATAAATAGCAATTGTAGTGATACCTCAGAAAATATAAAAAGAAATCAAAATGATACTATCATAGCGCCTTTTCAAGAAAGTAATGAAAGCTCCCCAGGAATGACACTTCCAGTGGCAACGTATAGATCACCATTAGGAACTACTACACTCATACCTCAACCACCATCTAACATATCATCTTATGTACAATCACAATAGCCATACCTGAGAGATAGGAGGCAATATGATGAAGAAGAAAATAACACATATGCCCTGATTATAAACAGAATATCCTATTTGGATATATCAATGATGATGACAAAACATTACAGGAAACATCTTTCTTTGACAATGCAAATGAACTAGAGTGAAAAGGAACCCCAAGTAGAATACCTCAAAGAGTTACATTTAATACCAGTAATGATAGGAGGACTCCATCCTCTGTTAGGGTAGAAAATGTTCAACAATTAGTAGCCTCAACATTATTCAGTAATCAATTGTCAAGGCCATCAAATTTAAGGGTAACAACTCCATCAGTAAGAAATACAAATAGTGAATCATCATTGGAAAATCCTTACAATTTTCTCAAGCAACTTAATATAGTCATATATTTAACCTCTTGGCATTACTTGATTCTCTCTAAAATAGCAATCCATCTACAACCTCCAGTTTCACAACCGCAAATTAGCAACCAGTAAATAACCGTTGGCTTGAAAGTAACTCAAGTAATAGAGGAAATAATACAATAGGACATCAAAATGTAACTACCAAAGGAACCCCACAGTCAATAACAGTAGCCTAACCATATAATATGCGACCACTATTAAACTCCTAGGGGTAGTTTTCAATCAACTAACATAACAACTTCTTAGTCAGTACCTAGCAGTCAACCGTCAAATAATATAAACACCTCTTAGCCAATACTTACACCTCAACTAGCTATAATACCAGTAGGAGGAAATAATGACAATGCTTACCTCCAAGTCATACAAGGGCTAGCAGAATAGCTTCAAGGACAACAAATGAAAGAATAACAATTAGTAGATTTGCCAACATTTAAAGATAGAAATCAGGATCCAGTGAAGTGGCTTGAGGCTTTTGAACGAGCTTATAAAGCAAACTGTATCAATACCACTCGAATAGTTGAAATAGTCCTCAGTTATTTAACAGGAACAGCACTGACATAGTTCTAATGATAATATGTTACTAACTGGAATAGTAGGATCAATCATGGTACTTCCTTCGTACTATTATTTAAATAACATTTTTGCAATGCATTTTGACAAAATCAATGGAAGTATCAGCTTAGGCATAGGACACAGAAACTAGGTGAAATAATTGAGAAATATGTGGCAGCAATAGGAGAACTATGAAAGCGAGTTAACTTACGGTATAGTCGAACTGAGATGGATAGAATTGCCGAATTTATTAAAGGACTGCGACCAGAATTTATGGTACCAATGCAAACAGTAATACCAACAACAGTAGATCAAGCAATCGAAAAGACCAGAGCAGTAGAATCTGCATATTCTATTGGAATGGAATTATCTGTATATTTATTGATGCCTAATTATATGCAATTATTATAAGGAGGAATGGTACTAGCTCGTACAAGTATAGTAATGCAACCTACATATATTACACAGAAACCAGATATTGAGGGCACTATTAATCGCAAACTGAATAAAGGGTTACAAGCGATTATGGCAAACATTATACAACAACAGCAACAACAACAACAACAGTAGCAACAGCCACAACAACGGCCACGCGAATGTTTTAATTGTAAAAGATTTGGACACTTGTCCAGAGATTGTAGAAGTAATCGACGTATAAATAATGACTAATCAAATATTGAATGCTTTAACTGTGAGAAGTATGGCCATTTTGCCAGGGATTGCAGGAGTACAAACAATAATAGAGGTCGAAACTTTTAAAATTATAATGATAATAACAGAAATCGTAATTGCAGTAATAGCAGGAATAGGAATTATAAAAATAATAATAAAAATAATAACTACAATAACAATAGTAACAGCATTTAAACTAGAAGTCGCACCTCTTAGGGGTGAGTGTGTAAACAAACCAAAGCCCTAAATGTAAAAGAAAAGGAAGAAGCAAAAAAGAATAATCAAGATGAAGCAAAAACAAAAGCAAGTTCAATAGAAGTACCTTATGTATATAGAGAAATGAATTCGAAAATGTGATTCAGAGGACCATATAAAAACAAACTCTAGTTGTGGAGAATATGACCACCATAGTCATATTATATGTATAAATTGTAATAAGATTGCTAAAGGAATAGTAGCACGATGTGAATATAAGGAAGTAAAATGAAAGGATCCACTAACTGATAAAAGGATTTTTAGTAAAAATCAACCAATTAAACCAGTAGATCTCCAACAATAAGGAGAAGTCACTGTTAAAAAAAGGCTGAAGTACAATTCTGGTGGAAAAAAATGACAATTTTTTTTTTTTAGATTTTGGAGCGGATCACGCGAAATGTCTAAACAAAAACATAAATTATGATGTAAACAAGTTGTTTACATCATATTTTAATAAATATCTGCAGCCTGGCGATTGCAAGCATCATACAATAGTTTCACTAAAAGAGCACCGTCAATGTATTAAAGCTTTATGGAAAGGTGGCGTTCGTAAAGTCGCAGACCTTCAAAAAGCCACTAGATATCCATTAAAAACATTATACAGATGGGCCAAACAACTCAAAGAAATGAACGACCTTAAGCAAAGAAATTGTTCGAGACGTTCAAAACATCTTTCTTCTTTCAGCGTCATTACTTTGATCGAATTGCAAAATTGCGTAAATGTGCGTCAAGTAATAAAATAACTGAAAACCTAAAAAAAAAATACCCTGACCTTGATATTGCATCTTGGACGGTTAGAGAAAACCTTCAAGACCTTGGGTATAAAGTTTGTATTCCTCGTTCAGTTCCTTTCCTTATCTAGGATGCTATGAATCGTCGTGTCATTTGGGCGAAAGCTCATCAAGAAGAATGTTGAAATAATGTCATATTTTTTGACGAGTCGACATTTCAGATGTTTCGTAATATGACGTTAGTTTGTTACAAAGTTGGAGAAACAATGCCGAGACGAGTTGTGGTAAAACACCCCTTTAAAGTCCATGTGTGGAGTGCATTTTGTGCAAAGGGAATTGTCGGATTTCATATGTTCACAGAGAACATGAATGGGGAGCTTTACCAGAATGTTATAACCGAAAATTTGTTTGAGCAAGCATCTTGGATCTTTTGAAATAGGTAGACATTCCAACAGGATAACGATCCTAAGCATCGAGCCAAGCTTATGATTGCTTTGCTTTAGGATTGTTATCCTTGAATTCTCGATTGGCCGTCTTCTTCTCCGAATCTTAATCCAATTGAGAATCTATAGGCAATAATGAAAAGAAATGTTGAGAAGAAGGTTAATATTATGGTCATTGAAAAAAAATCAGTTATGTGAGAAATTTTTATGAGGTTAATAAGGGAAGAATGGGAGGCAATCGATGTAAACTTATGTATTAATCTTGTAAGGTCTATGCCAGGGCGTGTAGGAATGGTAGTAGAAAGCCAAGGTCGCACGATAAATTTTTAGGATTTTTATATTTTCATTATGTATATTTGGGGGGTTTAATTTTAAAATATTGGATTTCTTTAATAAAAGCCGAGCGAGATATTTGCCAATTTGTAATTGTCATTTTTTTCCGCCAGAACTGTATGTGTTAGAGATCTTATATGATGACAAAGGAATCTATCTTTCAAAACGAATTGACCCAAATAAGGAAATGTATAACTTATGGTAAATAGTCAGTAGGAAAGTTGAACTAGGGGAATCATCGGTAAGGACTATGATTCGAGAAAGTGATGAAAAAACTGGAATATAATTGGATGATGATCGCTTGAAATACATTTTAAATGATCTTACATTTAATTGTGACATATATAAAATGAAGCTAAACAAAGAAATACCTCAACATACTGAACCTACCAAACACAGTGATTGGTAACATTTTGAGTTTGATGAATATTTACAAATGGCTGGTCTAAATAAACTAACACTAACGTATAATAAATATAGAGAATTTTTCATATCTAAATTAAAGAAACATATTGTTACTAGTAATACAGCACGTAATGAATCTATCAAGGATGCATTGTTTATTGAAGTCCAAGTGGAAGGATATTCTGTAAATGCTCTAGTAGATACTGGATCTATAGGAAGTAATATTACTCAATGGTATCTTAGGCAAATCAATAAGGAAATTGATGAACCTGCAAAAACAAAAATCATGGGAGTGGATGAAAAATCTATGATGCCTTTAAGAATAATTAAAGGAGTTACAATAGAAGTTAATGGAATAACTATTAATGAAGATATGCTAGTAACCAATGCTATGGGATATAATATTATCTTAGGAAATACCTGGTTGCAAAAAGTTCGTGCAATCATTGACTATGATACTGACATTCTAGTCATATAACAAGAAGATCAAACTTTTATGATGCCTATAACTTGCACGCAGGATATACATCTAGGAAGGTTTATACTAATCAAGCCTAAAATAACAGTGGATGAATTAGAATTTGAAGAGAAGGAAGATATCGATATTTAACAATGTTTTGCTATTGTTTCCAAAGAGAAAGAGGAGGTAATTCAAATAAATAGAAAGGAATATCCTGAAATATACTTACAACAAATTAAATATGAAATGGATGTATAACAAAATAGAAATTGAATGGGATCGATTACATGTTGGTGTTTGAAAAATTTAGGAAATGAAGGCCAATGTGATGACTGTAGAGAAATTGTAAGGACAGTACAAACTTATCAATATTATAGGAATAGTATAGATCTACAAGCTGCCTATAAAGTTCAGATTGAAGAGAATGATATTTGAGTAGAAATTGGTAATGATTTAGGAAAATATACAACTTGTAAAAAATTAACAGATGCTTCTTTAAAACAACTAAAAGAATTTCTTGAGAAAAACCTTAATGGTTTTGCGATCACAACACAGGAATTAACACATTCAGAGCAACATGAACATTATATATTTACCAAAGATATACCACCAGTTGCACTAAAACTATATCGAACGTCAGTAAAAGATGATCAGTATATTCAGCAGGAAATTTAAAATATGTTAGATCAAGGAATTATATGACCTTTTCAAAGTCATTGGAGCTCACCCGTAGTTCTTGTAAGGAAAAAGAATAGAAAAATGAGATTCTGCGTAGACTATAAGAAATTAAATGATGTAACAATAAAGGACTGATATCCCTTACCAAGGATTGATGAATTATTAGAATCCTTGGGAGGAGCAACATGGTATACTACCTTAGACTTAGCTTCAGGATACTGGCAGTTTAAGGTCAGAGAACAAGACAATCCAAAACGGCATTTATTACAAAACATGGGTTATATGAATTCAATATAATACCATTCAGGTTGTGCAATACACCAGCCACCTTTCAATGAGCTATAGATGATATATTATGAAAAATAAAAGAAAAATTTGTATTAGTATACCTTGATGATATTATTGTATTTTCAAAAGTTATGATGAATATTTACAACATCTCCAACAGGTTTTCAATTTATTAAAAGAAGCTCAATTGAAAATAAATCCAAAAAAATGCCATTTCTGCATAAATAAAATTCAATTTTTGGGACATGTAATATTAAGACAAGGAATACAACCTGATCCAGCAAAAATTAAAAAGATCATCAACCTCAACATTCCATTCAATGTTAAACAGTTACAAACTGTATTAGGATTATTTTCTTATTACTGACGTTTTATTAAAATTATTCTAAATTGGTAGCCCTATTGAACGATTTGCTGAAAAAGGATGTATCTTACAATTAGACAAAACAACATCAAGAGATTTTTGAAATACTTAAGGAAAAATTGACGATTGCGCTAATCTTATCCTATCCTGATTTCAATCAATCTTTTATATTAAGTATTGATGCAAGTACTACAGGATTA